ATTCCTCAGCACCACATAAGCAAAAAGAAAAAAGCCGGAAGTGGCGCTGTGGCTCAAGTGGTAGAGCGCTAGCTGAAGAGCTGAGGGACAGCGCCCAGGCCCAGAGTTCAGGCCCCATGACCGGACCCAAAAAAAAATAAGATACAGCTACCCAGCTAATTTTACTTTTTTAGTAGTACCGAGGGTAGCAAGTATACTTGCTAGCAAGTGTTCTATCCTTTGAGCCATGATTTCCAGCCCTTTTTAGTTATTTTTGGATGGGGCCTTTTGTTTTTGCTTGAAGCATGTCACAGACTACAATTCTTCTGTAGAACTTCTCATAGTTAGGCTCTCAAGTGAGTACCACCACACCCCACTTTTTTTGCTGCTGTGCCTCAGATTGTTCCAATCTCTGGTTCCCAAGTTGCTGGGATTATAGGTGTGAGCCTCTACCGAGACTCTTGGTACATAGTGTTTTAAAAGAATTATTTTCTGGAAACTCTTATTCTTCATGAGATATCTTTAACTGTTTGAGTATTTTTTCCTTTTTTCTGATGTAAAATGAGTGACAAAATTTTAGTAAACCCTTATAAATCTTCCCAGTTGTTTCCTATTTTAAAACAATGCTACTCAAAAGAATCTCCCTTATTATTACTCTTAACATCGAGAACACCAAAGAGCCTTTTGATTTACATTGATAATTGGGATTGATCATATAAGAAATTAAAGACTGTTGTGTATACATGCATATATGTAGGCACAGAGAAGTCCACAAGACTCCTTAACCAGCAAAGAGGCTGGACTGGAGGTGTGATTCAAGTGGTAGGCACCACCTGATCAAAAAGGCTGAGAGCACAGGCTGAGTTTAAGCCCTAGTATTGCTACCAAAAAAATGTGTTTTTTAGCTTTCACAGCTGAGAAGTCTAAAAGCATTAATGAAGGTGGTAAAGGCTACTAATTTATATTCTTGTTGAATCTCTTTATGACCTATGAAAAACTTCCTTAAATGTGTATCTGACTTGACTAGGGTGCGTTTGTATACTTTTCACAGAAAGGTGAACTAGTAAAAAAGTTGAAAAGGTTGTTTGACCATATTAAATTGCCTGTTATAGTAATAGAAGTATTTCTCCTTCCTTCCTCCCTTCCTTCCTCCCTCCCTCCATCCCTCCCTCCTTCTTCCTCCCCCTTTCCTTCTCCCTCCCTCCTTTTCCCCTCCCTCCCTCCTTCTCTCTCTTCCTCCCTCCCCTGCTTTCTCTTTCTTTTGCCAGTCCTGGGGGCTTGGACTCAGGCCTTGGCACTGTCCTTGAGCTGCTTTTGCTCAAGGCTAGCACTCTACCACTTGAGCCACAGAGCCACTTCCAGCTTTTTCTGTGTATGTGGTACTGAGGAATAGAACCCAGGTCTTCATGCATGTTAGGCAAGCACTCTACCACTAAGCCACATTCCCAGCCCTGTAATAAAACTATTTATGGTAGCTGAACTTTATACCACAACTCTTGAAAATTCGGTTCTTTTCGTTGTAGTTTTGTTAGTATTTTCTCACTGATTTTTTTTAAATAGGAAGTGGTAAGAAGCATAGTAGTGGCAAGTTGTATAGCTGTTATAGTAAAATTTCAAATATACTAGAGTTCAAATTCCTAATAATATTTAGAGACATTGATGCACAACCATTTGTTTCATGTATTAAAAATACAGTCTAGGGGCTGAGAATGTGGCTTAGTGGTAGAGTACTTGCCTACTATGCATGAAGCCCTGGGTTTGATTCCTCAGTACCACATAAACAGAAAAAGCTGGAAGTGGCACAGTGGCTCAAGGCTCGCACGCTGCTCCTTGAGCTAAAGAAGCTCAAGGACAGTGCCGTGGTCCCGAGTTCAACCCCCAGGACTGACCTCCCCACAATCCCCTCTCCAAATATGTGTGTGTGTGTGTGTAGTTTAATGTCAGAATGAGTTTTAGAAAAAGTTAATTGTTTGAGATTTGATAGAAACAATGGAAGCTTGACCATTTATGGTTTCATAGAAATGATGTATGTACTTAATTTCCTTTTTTCTTTTAATACTTACATAAGTAAAACTTGGGTTTGGCTAAGAGGGTAGCACTAAGTTCTTTACATGATGCTGAGGAATCAAACCCAGGGCCTCATGGATGCTAGACAAGCACCCTAACACTAAGCTATACCCTCAGCCCCAACACTATTAATTACAAAGAAAATTTGTAATGGCTTTTGTGGCATCTTTGGATACATTAGATGTACAGGTATTAATGGCATACTGCTTATTAAAAAGACATGGCTCACCGGGCACCGGTGGCTCATGCATGTAATACTAGCTACTCAGGAGGCTGAGATCTGAGGATCTCGGTTCAAAGCCAGCCCTGGCAGGAAAGTCCGTGAAACTCTTATCTCCAATAAACAAACCACTAGAAAACTGGAAGTGGCACTGTAGCTCAAGTGGTAGAGTGCTTGCCTTGAGCTGAAGAGCTGAGGGACAGCTCTCAGGCCCAGAGTTCAAGCCCCACAACCAAAAAATAAAAATTAAAAAGACATGGCTCATGCCTGTAATCCTGAGGATCTTGGTTCGAAGTCAGGTTGGGCAGGAAAGTCCAGGAGACTTCTATCTTTAAATGGCTCAAAAGGCAGGAAGTAGTGTTGTGTTTCAAGTGGTAGAACACTAGACTTGAGCAGAACCAGCTCAGAGACAGCTTTGAGGCCCTGAGCTCATGCCCAGGACTAGTAAAACAAAAAAAACTCATGTTTGAGCCAGGTGCTGATGGCTCACATCTGTTATTCTACAACTGCTCAGGAGGCTGAGATGTGAGGATTCCTGTTTGAAGCCAGCCTGGAGTGGAAAGTCCATGAGACTCTTAGCTCCAGTTAACCAGCAGAAAACCAGAAGTAGAGCTGTGTGATTGCTAGCCTTGAGCAGAAAAGCTCAGTAACAGTGCCCATGCCCTGAGTTCAAGTCCCCACAACCAAAAAAAGGTTATGTTTACTTTGATGGTTTGAATCATGGCTTGCTCCTGCCCCTTTTCCTAGCAATAGATGTTGAGTCCTGATCTATGAATTGGGGCTGACAAGTTTCTTTTGTAGAGGTATGAAAAAAATAACAGGTTACAGCCTTCAAATGTTAAGTATTACTATAAGTTAAATTTTGTGATTTTTGAAATCTTTCTTTTTCTTCCCACAGGCTATGGTGAAATAAATGGTAATGCCGGAGAAAGAGAAATATCTTTAAAAAGCCTCAGTTCTGATGATGCTGCCAATCCTATTTCCAGAGTCCTCAATGGCAACCAGCAGGTTGTAGACACCAGCCTGAAGCAGACTGTGAAGGCTGGTACCTTTGGAAAAGCAGGAATTAAAACCAAGAATTTCATTCAGAAAAACAGCATGGACAAAAAGAATGGGAAATCTTATGAAAGTAAATCTGGAGAGAACCAGTCTGTAGATAAGACCGATGCTATAGCAATTCCAAATGGTGTTATAACAAATAATTCAGGCTATATTACTAATGGTTATATGGGTAAAGGAGCAGATAATGATGGTAGTGGGTCTGAGAGTGGATATACCACTCCTAAAAAAAGGAAAGCTAGGCGCAATAGTGCCAAGGGTTGTGAAAACCTTAATTTAGTACAGGACAAAATAATGCAACAAGAGACTAGTGTCACAACCTTGAAACAGGGACTTGAAACTTTCAAGCCTGATTATAGTGAACAAAAGGGAAATCGAGTAGATGGTTCAAAGCCCATTTGGAAGTATGAAACTGGGCCTGGAGGAACAAGCCGGGGAAAACCTGCTATGGGTGATTTGCTTCGTAAAAGCTCAGATATTAAACCTGGTATGAGCAGCAAAAAGTTTGATGATCGGCCCAAAGGAAAGCATGCTTCAGCTGCTGCCTCCAAAGAAGACTCATGGACCCTGTTTAAACCACCTCCAGTTTTTCCAGTGGACAATAGTAGTGCTAAAATAGTTCCTAAAATAAGTTATGCAAGCAAAGTTAAGGAAAACCTCAACAAAACTATTCAGAACTCTTCTGTGTCACCATCTTCATCATCATCCTCTTCATCATCTACTGGGGAAACTCAGACCCAGTCTTCGAGTCGGTTATCCCAAGTCCCTATGTCAGCGTTGAAATCTGTTACTTCTGCCAACTTTTCTAATGGGCCTGTTTTAGCAGGGACTGATACAAATATGTATCCAGGGGCTCAGCCACTGCTAACTACTGCTGCTAATACTCTAACACCCATCTCTTCTGGAACTGATTCAGTTCTCCAGGACATGAGTCTAACTTCAGCAGCTGTTGAACAAATTAAGTCTAGCCTTTTTATCTACCCTTCAAATATGCAAACTGTGCTGTTGAGCACAGCACAAGTGGATCTGCCCTCTCAGACAGATCAGCAAAACCTGGGGGATATCTTCCAGAATCAATGGGGTTTATCATTTATAAATGAGCCCAGTGCTGGCCCTGAGACTGTTATTGGAAAATCATCAGATCATAAAGTGATGGAGGTGACATTTCAAGGAGAATATCCTGCCAGTTTGGTTTCACAGGGTGCTGAAATAATCCCCTCAGGAACTGAGCATCCTGTGTTTCCCAAGGCTTATGAGCTGGAGAAACGGACTAGTCCTCAAGTTCTGGGTAGCATTCTGAAACCTGGGACTACTAATGAGAGTGGAGCCTTATCCTTGGAATCCAGTCATATAGGTGAACTGCAAAAAGCAGACACCAGTAGTCAAGGTGCTTTAGTGTTTCTCTCAAAGGACTACGAGATAGAAAATCAAAATCCTCTGGCCTCTCCTACGAACACTTCGTTAGGCTCTGCCAAAGAACAGAAATACCAGAGAGGCCTAGAAAGGAATGATAGCTGGGGTTCTTTTGACCCGAGGGCTGCTATTGTATATCACACTAAAGGTAACTTTTTTTATTCAAAAATTCTTACTGGCCAACTTTTATATACATATATTTTTTTTTAATACACACACATGCCTGTTTGCAAAAAAAATTGAGATTCTTTATTTCAGAGCTTAGTTGAGAATGAGTATAGATAAATAGCTTCAAGGTCTTTAGAAATAGTGTATAAGTTTAAAAGAAATGTTCAGGATTTCAGTGTAAAGGTATTTTTTTTTATAATTGACCTTGTGGTTCAAAGACTAAAGGGATATGTATGTGAAATCTGGAGACTTGCCTAGAGGGATGACCTTATTTCGCTTGAATTCTGGTAACTTATTTTGTTAGTGAAGTGTTTAATAGTTGTAATTTGAGGAGTCCAAAACATGGTTAACGCGAAAGTAATTTAGTCAGCATAGTAGAGATCAGGTTCTTTGAATTTGCTTTTATAGTCCCAAAGTCTTATAAAAAAGGAAATGATACTAAATGTGTGGTGTCCTAGCTACTTGGGAATCTGAGGCAAAATGAGTTTTTCAGCCTGGGAGTTGGGAGGCCAGTTGTAGCCCATATATTTTTTTAAAAAATCAAATCTTTTGAGTTGCATACTAATATATCTTTGTTAGAATATGACTTATTTGTATCAGGCAAAAACTTGACTGGCATAACTAAATCCTTAGCAAGTAGGAGAATTTCTGGGTTTTTTTTTTTTTTTTGGTCCGGTCGTGGGGCCTGAACTCTGGGCCTGGGCGCTGTCCCTCAGCTCTTCAGCTCAAGGCTAGCGCTCTACCACTTGAGCCACAGCGCCACTTCTGGCTTTTTTCTTTTTTCTTATGTGGTGCTGAGGAATCGAACCCAGGGCCTCTGGCATGCAAGGCAAGCGCTCTACCTCTGAGCCACCTTCCTAGCCCCGTAGGAGATTTTCCATATCCCAATTTATTGTTATCCTTCCTTAACAAAGCCACACTAATATGTGCATATATACTCAATTTGTACTGTATATGCTCATTTAAGTAGTAACTGGAACTACAAGAAAGGGAGAAGATTGATTGTAGGGAAGAGTTAATGACTTTGCTGGATGGTGGTGGCTCACGCCTGTAATCCTAACTACTCAGCAGGTTGAGATATGAGGATCTAGCTAGCCTGGTAGGAAAGTCTGGGAGACTCTTAACGCCAATTAACCACTGGAAAAATTGAAGTGATTCTGTGGCTTAATATGGTAGAGTGCTAGCCTTGAGCAAAAAAGCTCAGAGTCGGCACCCAGGCCCAAGAATAGTTGACCCAAAAAAAAGAAGAAAAATAATGACTTTATGTCTGCCTGTCTTCCTTGGTCTCTCAATTGGAATGTATATAGTACAATAAGCAAATACCATTTTTTAATTTATTTTCCCATTTCTTTAAAAAATGGTAATAAAGCCAGGCATCTATAATCCTAGCTACTCAGGAGGCTGAAATCTGAGGATCGTGGTTCAAAACCAACCTGGGTAGGAAAGTCTGAGAGAGACTCTGATCTCCAATTAATCACCAAAACCTTTCTGGGCAGGAAAATCTGAGGTTAGGGTTTTTTTTTTTTTTTTTTTGGCCTGAGTTTTGGGTGCTATCTGAGCTGTTTTTTTTTTTTTTTTTGCCAGTTGTGGGGCTTGAATTCAGGTCCTGGGCACTGCCCTTGAGCTTTTTACTCAAGGCTAGCATGCCTACCGCTTGAGCCACAGCATCATTTCCACTTTTTCTGTTCATGTGGTATTGAGGAATTGAATCCAGGGCTTCATGCATGCTAGGCAAGCGCTTTACCACGAAGCCACATTTTCAACCCCAATCCCTGAGCTTTTTTTTTTCAAGTCTAGTTCTCTGCCACTTGAGCCATATTGCCACTTTTGGCTTTTTCTGCGTGGTTCATTGGAGATAAGAATCTCATGGACTTTCCCAACCAGGCTGGCTTCAAACCACAATCCTCAGATCTCCTTCTCCTGAGTAGCTAGGATTATGGGTATGAGCCACGAGTGCATATACTTTTCTCTCATTCTGGCTGCTTTTTGTTTTGTTGGTTGTGCCTTTGATGTCCAGTTTCCAGTATCAACCTTTACCAGTTGGGGTTGGAAGTGTGGCTCAGTTGGTAGAGTGCTAGCCAATGAACAAAAATATTAGGTACTGAGTTTGAGCCTCTGATCTAAAAAAAAGATGTACTAGTTTATTTTGCAGGGAGAGGGGCTAGGAATTGAAAGACCAAGGCTTTGTACATCAGCTACAAACCCCCAAGCCCATTATTTTTTATCAGAATAGTTAAAATCATTTCACATTGCCTTTTATTTATTTATTTTATTTTTGGGGGGAGGGTCCAGTCGTGGGGCCTGAACTCTGGGCCTGGGCACTATCCCTCAGCTCTTCAGCTCAAGACTAGCGTTCTACCAACTTGAGCCACAGCGCCACTTCTGGCTTTGTTTCTTTTTGCTTATGTGGTGCTGAGGAATCTAACCCAGGGCCCAGACATGCAAGGCATGCGTTCTATCACTGAGCCACCTTCCCAGCCTCCTCCCATTATTATTATTATTTTTTTTTTGGTCAGTTGTGGGGCTTGAACTCTGGGCCTGGGCGCTGTCCCTCCGCTCTTCAGCTCAAGGCGAGCGCTCTACCACTTGAGCTACAGCGCCACTTCCGGTTTTCTGGTGGTTTATTGGAGATAGGAGTCTCATGGTCTCTCCTGCCCTGGCTGGCTTTGAACTGCGATCCTCAGATCTCAGCCTCCTGAGTAGCTAGGATTACAGGCGTGAGCCACCAGCGTCCGGCTTCCCATTATTTTTTAAAATGTTAGGGTTGATAGCTTTTGATGAACATACCGAGATATGTAACTGTTGCCTCCTTTGAAATAATCAGAATGCTTACTTTAGAGTATCCTTTCTTCAAAGGCTCTGAATTCTAGATGTTTTTAAAAATGAATTTTTGATTGAAATGGTCTAAAAGTTATTTAAATCCAATAGAAGTAGGGTGGATTGTTGTAAGTCATGTGTTAGGTTGAAATGTTAATTTAAACTGAGTAGCTTTATCTTGGCTGGTTAGTATTGCTCTGAAGTTTGTCAAGTATTAGAAATGCTAATATTTTAGAATATTCAATGAAATCATATATTGGTAAATTTGACTTAGTGCACAGAGGCAAAAGAGAGGAATAAAGATTTATATTTCATGATTGGGATAAGTGGAACAATATTAATCTTGTCCTCAGGTTTGCAAGATTAAAGATTAAATGTAAAATTCAGTATAACTAAAAGATATTAAGAACTCAAAGTCAGCTTTGGAGGAACAGTTCTGAACTCAGGGTCCTGGGCACTATCCCTGATCCTTTTTGCTCAAGGCTAACACTCTACCACTTAAGCCACACCTCTGATATTTTTCTGCCTAGGCTGGCTTTGAACTAAGATTTTCAGATCTTAGCTAGGATTACAGGCTTGAGCCACCAATACCCAGTTAATGAGTTTGTGTGTGTGTGTGTTAAGACTAACAACAAAACTTGCAAAATACACAGCCTAGAAATACCAAAACCAAAAAAGTTTGTCTTAAGTTAGCACTTACAAATGGGCAGACACAAACAAAAGAGTGCTGGCGTCGGTGGTTCAGGCCTGTAATCCTAGCTACTCAGGAGGCTGAGATCTGAGGATCTTGGTTCAAAGCCAGCCCGCGCAGGAAAGACCGTGAGACTCCTGTCTCCAATAAACCACTAGAAAACCGGAAGTGGTGCTGTAGCTCAAGTGGCAGAGTGCTTGCCTTCACTGAGGGACAGTGCCCAGGCCCAGAGTTCAAGCCCTATGACCGACAAAAAAAAAGTATATCATGTTATCGCTGTCTAGAGAAATTTAAATTAAAGATGACTTATTTATTTATAGCTATAAATGAACTGTAGTATATATTGTAGTACCTAATAATTTTGTGGATACTTTGTGGTGTTATTGGGAATCAGAATACAGGCTTGTACTGTAGCTGGGCAGTATTATAGCACAGCGACCTTGGATTCAATCAACAGCACCCAAAGTGGGGAAAAAGAACAAATATGTACCCTCTGAGTAGATGGTGGCAGGTACTGATCCTGATCTTACTGCTTAAGGGTTAGTAGTATGTAGGTTTTGAGCATTTGTTCCCAGAAGGAACTAAATAGTTCTCCCTCTTCCCTTTCCCTTTCGCCAGGGGGGTTTGAACTCAGGGCCTAGGTGCTATCTCTGAACTTTTTTTGCTCAAGGCTAATGCTTTACCACTTTGAGCTACAGCTCCATTTCTGGTTTCTGGTGGTTAATTTGGAGATGGGTCTATGAGACTTCACTGCCCTGGTTGGATTTGAACTTCAGTCCTCAGATCCCAGTCTCTTGAGTAGCTAGGATTATAGGTGTGAGTCACCCACACCCAGCTGTTTTCTCTCATTGGGAATTAAACTGTCTTGCTAGGCAAGTAAAGGCCCTACCACCACTGGAGCCACATCATAGAGTATGAACCACCACATATGACATTACATAGTCCTTTTTGTTTTGGCTGGTCCTGGGGCTTGGACTCAGGGTCTGGGCACTGTACTTGAGCTTGAGCTTCTTTTGCTCAAGGCTAGTGTTCTATTGTTGAAGCCACAGCCCCACTTCTGGCTTTTTTTTTGGGGGGGTGATATTGGGGCTTAAACTCTGGGCCTGGGCACTGTCTTCAGCTCAAGGCGAGCACTCTACCACTTGAACCACAGAGCCACTTCTGGTTTTCTGGTGGTTTATTGGAGGTAAGAGCTTCACGGACATTCCTGCCCAGCCTGGCTTTGAACTGTGATCTCAGCCTCCTGAGTAGCTAGGATTACAGACTACTGGTGAGTTACTGGCGAGCTACTGGCGCCCCGCCACTTCTGGCTTTTTTGATAGGTCAGTGAAGGAGATAGGATATCAAAGACTTTTTCTGCCCAAGTTGGCTTCGAACTATGATCCTCAGATCCCAGCTTCCTCTATGTGCGTGCATGCACGCACGCGCACGTTTGTGTGCGTGTGCATGCATCTGTCCATCCGTTGGTCTGT